CCCATTCAACAACTCCCCCTTCCTCCCTTCACCCAGCCCCTGGGCACCACTGTTCCACTTTCTGTCTCTGAATTTGACATTCAAGGTACCGTACCTTATATAAGCAGGATCATGCAATATTTGTCTCTTTGTGACTAGCTTATTTCACTTAGCATAATGTTCTCAAGGTTTGTGTGTATTGTAACGTATTGCAGAATTTCATTCATTTTTAAGGCTGAATAACATTCCATTGTATGTGTGTATATACTGTATGTATGTATTTTGTTTATCCATTCATCCATCAATGGATACTAGAGTTGTCTCTACCTTTTGACTATTGTGAATAATGTATGTCACTATTTACATGGGTACACAAATATGTCTTCGGAACTCTGCTTTTTTACCTGGAAACGGAATTGTTGGATCATACGGTCATTCTATTTTTAACTTTTTAAGGAACCACCATACTGTTTTCCACAATGGCTGACCCATTTTACAACTCCACCATCAGTGTACAAGGGTTCCAATTTCTCAATATCCTTATCAATACTTGCTATTTTCTGTTTTTATGTTTAGCAATCATAATGGGTGCGGGTGACTCTTACAAGTAGAAACATTGTATATTTTACACAAATCCTATAAATGGTATTCTAAGAAATAAGCTTTAGAAACAAAAAATGTCCTTCAATTGATAGTGTCAAAACCTGATTCTGTGTACTGTTGTTAACCTTGTTAGGAGATCGTAACGTTAGGTTATTTAAAAACTACCCAAAATGTTCCCTAGAGTTTGAATATTCAATATAAACTTCTTTTTAACCGCACAACTACATGGAAACTGAACAACTTGCTCCTGAATGACTACTGAATCAACAATGAAATGAAGGCAGAAATATAGATGTTCTTCGAAACCAGTAAGAACGAAGACACAATGTACCAGAATCTCTGGGACACATTTAAAGCAGCGTCTAGAGGGAAATTTATAGCACTAAATGTCAACAGCTACCTGAGACTAGGTAATCTATACATAAAAGAGGTTTAATTGGCTCAGGTTTCACAGGCTGCACAGGAAGAATGGCTAAGGAGGCCATGGGAAACGTATGATCATGGCAGAAGATGAAGGGGAAGCAGGCATGTCCTACTTGGCTGGAGCAGGAGGAAGAGGGCAAAGGGGATGTGCTACACACTTTTAAACAACCTGATCTCGTGAGAACTCACTATCACAAGAACAGCAAGGGGGAAATCCACTCCCATGATCCAATCACCTTCCACCAGGCTTCTCCTCCAACACTGGGGATTACAATTACATGAGATTTGGGCAGGGACAGAAATCCAAACCATATCAAACATGAAGGATATTGTAGCTATATTTAAAGGTTTGGATTTAACCTGGCTGCCATGAGGTAGCATTGAAGTATTTTAAGTGAAGGAAATTAAATACATTTTTATTTAGAAAGATCACTTTGGCTGTGATGTGGAAAACAAGACCTGAGTCAAAGAAACCAGTTAGCAAAAGATGATGGTGGTATGGTCTATGTTTGTGACAAAACAGATGAAGTACATGAATTCAGAAGATATTTGTGTGGTGATATTAGTATCTGAGCTAACAAAAGTTTGGACTGTCATGTCATCGTCACACAAATATTTTACCCGGTTTGAAGCTTTACAAATAATTTCAATGACACAGGGAATCGAGGCTCAGACAAAGCAGAGAAAAGTCTGGGACAGCAAGCGTGGGCTGTGGAGCTTCAGCCACACTGAACATGCATTATCTGGCCTAGAATAACAGATTAGGTCTCCAGTTAAGGTTTTATGGGTTTGCATTACACAGAGCAGGGACATTTAAATCATAAAATGTCTCAATTTGATACCCCAGGGAATTGTATAGGTTATATAACATTCTTCAGGAAGCCATCCCTCAGATATCCATAGCTCCTGGGTTTATTTGAGTAACCCTTACCCAGGGTTAGCCTGCTAAGAGACTGCTACATGAGGACAAATAACATTAGTCTGTACCTAGAGGTTCCCTTGACAAGGAGAAGGGAACACAGGCCAGCTACTTTACTTTCTTACTCCTCAAGCAGGACTTGGTGATAAATGTTATATGGAATTTCTTGGAGAGTGAAGGGTCATGGACGTAACCTCTTAAAAAGGGGCAATATTTGACAGATTTCACGGGGGAAGGTTATTTGCTGTGAATAATCAGATCTAGCAGGCACAGCAGATACCCATAACATGAGACATTTGGGAATTATCTCCAGCAGATTGGAAAAGCACAAGTAAGTTACACAGCAAGTAGCCCTGATCTCCATGTTATCTAATTTAGTTGCACAAATGCTTCTCTCTCAGCCCACACTGATGATACTGACTATGGTACACCTATGGTATGACACTCATGGCAGAGATGTTCCCTATCAACTTGGGCCTTGTTCATGAATGAGTTGGCTCAAGCTAAAACTGGATTGATCCCTCACTACAGCCCCACTTAAGTATAGCCCTAAAGAACAGTGGCGAGGGAAAATCCTAGTGGGCAAAGTTTTGAGCACTATACTTGGTCATTCACTTCTTATTGAGAGAGAAGTAGCCTTAAGTAGAGATACACATGGATTCCTGGGCAGTGGCAAATAGTCTGGCTCATTGGTCAGGTACTTACTTGGAAAGGGCAAAATCAGATTAGAGACAAGGAAATCTGGGAAGTATCACAAGGATTGACTTATAAGGTGTGGATCTTCACATATCACTGTACCAGAGCCTACCAGAGAGCACCCACTTCAGAAGAGACAATGAACAATAAGAATAATAAGGTGACTTTGGCATTGAAGGCCAGCCAACATGCTTTTGGCCACCTTAGTGCTTATGCAATTAGATCATCAACAGAAGAGTCATTATGGCAAGGATGGAACCAAGGGCCCCAAATCACGAGTCTTTTCTCACAAAAACTAGCTACTTCCACTGCTGAATGACACTGGGCCTTGATATGGCACCATCATTTGAAAAGACAAATCAGTTGTTTGGTGACAACATGATTATATCAGACCCATTCTGGTTTGGACACTGCAGTAATTTATTCTTAACAGGGATTGCTACTTGGTCCAGGCATGGATTTGCCTTTCTTGCCCATGATGGCCCTACTAGAACCACTACCTAAGGAACTATAAAATGCATGATTTACTATTATGGGCTTTCTGATCAAGGGACCAATTTTATAGTAAAGGAATTTTTAAAATGAGTATATGACCATGGAAAACACTAGTCCTATCATATGCCATACAATCTAGAAACTATTAGAATGTTAAGTTGGCCTGTTAAGGAGTAACCTAAGGTTCTAGCTTGAGTATGACATGCAGCTAGGTTGGAGCATTTTCCTCCAGGATGTGATATATACATTGAACCAATGACCATTATATGGTGCTGTCCAAATAGCTTAAATACATGGGTCCAAGAAGCAAGGGATACAAATAAGATTGGCTGACTATGGTATACCTATGGTGCGTCATTCAAGGTAGAGATGTGATCCCTTGGGAATTTGCACTTCTTGTTCCTGCAAGTTGGGACTCAGCAGGACTTAGTCCATGTAGCCACTGTATTCTCCCTATATCCAGTGAGGGAAGGAATGGTTCCCCTGGAGATCACAATAAGGATTCCACTGAACCTAGAGCTATAATTGCTGCATGGTAATGTTTGGCTCCTCATGCTGGTAGATAAATATCTGGTTTCTCTGTCCATTAGTGGGAAAATTCTGAAATGCATTCTATATGGTTCCTCAGAGCATTCCTAGCAAACTGAGACCTGTATACTCACAACAATAACCCATTCTTAACACAAATTTTTTTGGCTTTCCTCCCTTCCCTGTGTCACTTTCTCTTTCTAATTTGTGATTTCTGAGATCATCTCCTAAATAAACTACCTGTACCAATATCTTATGGTCTGTTTTGAAAGGAAAGACTAAGATTGTTCCTTTTCTCTTTGTGGTAATTTTAAATACATTCACAAATTATTTGATAGTCTTCCTTTTAAGAGATAAAGCGTAATAAAGATAACAGCTCCTCTCCATGAGGGTAGGCTGGACTTAATGCATTTCTAATTAATAGAATAAGGCAGAAGTGATGGTGTGTGGCCTCTAAGACTAGGGGTCTCTCTCTCTGTCTGTCTGTCTCTCTCTCTCCTCTCTCTCTCGCTCTCGCTCTCACTCTCTCGCTCTCTTGCTCTCTCTCTCTCAGGTTGCTTGCTCAGCCATGTTATGAGACCATTCAAACTATCCTATGGGGAGGTCTATGTATCAAAGAATTGAGGCCTCCTGCCAACAACCATCAAAGTGTGCCATCTTGGAGGCAGACTCTCCCAACCCAGTCAAGCTTTCAGATGACTGCAACCCAGGTAAAAATCTTTACTGCAACTTCCTGACAGACCTTAAGCCAGAGCCACCCAGCTAAACCACTCCCAGTTTCCTACCCCTCAGAAACTGTCTGAGATAATAATTGTTTGTTGCCTTAAGCTGCTACGTCTTGAGATAACTTATTATGCAGTGATAGAAAACTAATTCACTGCTCTGACCTGGAAGCAAGGGAATGTGAATCCAAAATGCTGTATTGCATGCACAGTAGTGAAGGCAAATTGTAGGCCCCAAAAAACTGAGATTAGGGGAATGATCTAGAAAGGAAAATGGAAAAAGAAAAGGACAACATTGATGAAAGCAAGTAAAGAGAAATATGTAAACAAGGAAAGATAAAGAACATTATAAAAGAAAGAAAAAGAAATAACAATGACATAAAATAGGCAGTAAGTGTGAGAGAAACTGAGAATTGCAAAGACAACTAGGATGAGTAAGCAGGCAGAGAGACAAGAAGAGGAAAGAAGGTTCAGTGAAGAAAAAAATGGAGTGATGAGAGGATATAAGTGAGAAAGGGAGGAAGAAGCAAGGCACATTTGCACATGGGATAAAGGGGCAGAGAGTTCTGCCTTACATGAATACACTAAACGTCTCAAACATTTAAAATAATCAGTTTGACGTTTCTGTACCTAAATATAGTATCTTTACTTAAGTGTGACTGTTAGAATACTACCGTTTCTCAGAATACTAGGAATAATTTCTTTATTTGTCATGGCCATTGTATTCAGTCCAATGTTCTATTTCTGCTCAACCTTCCTTACTTAACTGAGCTGGATTCTGTGCCCAGAATATACACACAAGTCATTCCAGTCAGAATATATTATCTCTTGGCTATAACTGATGGGTGCAGGGCGCAAAGGACTATAGCTCAGAAGAAATAAAGTACTTTATAGTCCATAAGTAGAATCAGGCGTTAATCTAGTTACATTTGGTTCTTGATAAACATTTTCATAGTAAGTATCATCTGGTGTTCCCATTTCCATCTCTGATATATCTCCTCCATAGTCATATATGTTTTGATGTGCTTGATCAAATCTGAATCCTAAAGATAAATGACAAATGATTAGAAATATTCCAGATGTAATAAGATGCTCATTCAAAATGCTACTATGTGCTGGTCTGTTCCACATTCCCTTTCATCACTCTTAAAGGAAGTATCTTCATCTGAAACCAGAAATGTCCCAAATTTCTGAGTTCATCCCAGTTTCACTCCCACATATCACTGTCCATCCCTACAAAAGGCTCTGCAGGACCTGGGTTTTAGGTCTGATCTATTAATAACTAGCTGCGTTATTTGAGACAAATTATTTAACCTAAGTCTTAGTGTTCGCATCTGTAAAATGAGAATAATAACCGCACGTATGTCATCATATTCCTGCAAGAATTAAATGTGATGGTATATGTAAAGAACTTAGCAGAGTATCTGTCATTTCGTTCGTGCTCTGTAATTAACTATTAGCTAACTTCTTCACTCACAAGGAAGAGATGCCCTTTTCCTCTCCAGAGCTCATGTTTCTAAATCTGCTCTGGATTTATCTGGCTTCTTGAAGAAGTGACATACATTCTCCTCTTCTCCAATGCCAACATCTCCAGTGGATCACCTTCACTGTCTTCAGTTATGCATATCTCCACTACTTAAAATAATCTTCACTTGCTCTTATGCTCTTTCCAACTACTATCCTGTTATCTTTCCTTTTTTTGACAGTAATTGCTCTTAACTCAGTCATTTATATTGTTTCCCTTTTTTTTTTTTCTTTTTTTGAGACAGGGTCTCACTCTGTTGCCCAGGCTGGAGTGCAGTAGTGCGATCGCACAGCCTCCACCTCCTGAGCTCAAATGATTCTCCCGCCTCAGCTTCCCAAGTAGCAGATTACAGGTGCGTGCCACCATGCCCCGCTGAAATTTTATTTTTTATAGAGTGATAGTCTCTTTAAATTGCCCAGGCTGGTCTTGAACTCTTGGCCTCAAGTGATCCTCCAAACTTGGCCTCCAAAGTGCTAAGATTATTGGCATAAACCACTGCGCTGGGTCTCTGTGCCCATTTAAATTTGTAAAAGATAACTATCTATTGTGCAGAGTAGGGAATGAAGCAGCATTGGTTTGGAGGCTACTGCAGAAGCCTGTAGAGAAGTGAAGGTAACTTGGGCTGAGTGGGTGGCAATGAGCTGGAAATAGGTGGACCAGTTAATGCTAATGATAGCTCATATTTATGGAGTATGCATTATGAGATAGGCACTATTCTAAGCTCTGTGCATGTATTATCTTTTATTATCTCACAACCTATGTGCCAGGTACTACTGTTATTCTTATTTTACTGATGAGAAAATTGAGCTAGTAACTTGCCCAAAATCATATAGCCAGTAAAGAGTGGAGCCAAAAATAAAACCCAGGCAGTCTGAATCAAGACTCCACAATCCTTTGGGAGGCCAAGATGGATGGCTCACTTGAGTCTAGGAGTTCAAGACCAGCCTGGGCAACATGGTGAGATGCCGCCTTGACAAAAATACAAAAATTAGCTGGGCATGGTGGCGTATGCCAATGGTCTCAGCTACTCAGAACGCTGAGGTGGGAGAAGTGCTTGAGCCTGGGAGGTGAAGGCTGCAGTGAACTCAGATTGAGGCCACTGCACTCCAGCCTGGGCAAAAGAGTGAGGCCCTATCTCAAAACTAATAAACAAATAAACACCCTCCACAGTTCTAACCTCTGCTTACTGCTTCTCCTATCTGCTAGTAGGATAGGTGTGCAATAACTGGGCTTTGGCTATGTTAAAATGATCGGGATTTCTGGGCTCTGATGACACTCTTCTTTAACATGATGGCTTTCACTTTCAGTGTTTTCAGTACTGCTAACTACTGGCAGAACAATAGTGGCATAGAACCATAGAACCTAGAAACTATTTTCAACATTTTGAGGCATTTATTTTGCCAAGTGGAGTCTGCTCATGAAAAATCATTACTAAAACCATAAGTAACTTTTTTTTTTTGAGATGGAATCTCACTCTGTCACCGAGGCTGGAGCGTAGTAGGGTAATCTCGGCTCACTGCAACCTCTGCCTCCCTGTTCAAGTGATTCTCCTGTCCCAGCCTCCTGAGTATCTGGGATTACAGGTGTCTGCCACCATGTCCAACTAATTTTTGTATTTTTAGTAGAGCTGGGGTTTCACCATGTTGGCTAGGCTGGTCTCAAACCCTGACCTTAAGTGATCCATCTGCCTCAGCCTGCTGAAGTACTATAATTACAGGTGTGAGCCACTGTACCTGACCAGTAACTTTTAACAAAGGATTCATATTTTAAAAACCATTTTATTCAACCTTAAATAATATAGGACATTTCTTTCTATTCCCAAATAACAATCTTACATACAAAGGTAAAAATGACTTGACAAATGCATCTAAATTTATATACTATGCAGATTACTGAAATGTTAAATGCCTAGAAATAAGTGTGTAGAATGTATTTTTTGTTCATGAGAATTTCCCATAAACTACTGCTAAAAATTGCCTACCTTTGAAATTAGCCGAAGAGTTGCTTGTAGCAATTTCCTTCCAGCTGGCAATGTACCTACATACATTATATGAGCATTCATTAAACTAAATCAGTTCATTAGTACATACTTAGACTACTTCTAAAATTACACTTTCTTTTGAGAAATCTTAGATTAATAATGGCATCTTCACTAGCCTCCATGTTTAATTCTCATGATTTTCCTACCTCCTCATAGCTCACATCCAGCTAAGAATCTCCAGGAGAAGGAGCTGAAGGAAGTATAAAAATGGTACCCACCATCACTAGCCTCCATGTTTAATTCTTATGACTTTCCAACCTCTTAGTAGCTCACCCCCAGCTAAGAACCTCCAGGACAAGGAGTTAAAGGAGGTATGAAAATGGTGCCCACCATCTGCCATACTTACTGTCCTTTTGCCTCCCTGTAGCATGCCTTCTCATTTTATCCTATTTAATTCCTGCAAGATCATGTCCTCATCTGAGTGTTTTCTGAGATGTTAGTTAATAACATTTAAATTAAAGCCTGGACAGAAAACTGTCAGATGGAAAAGTCATGAGGAAACAGCAACAAAAACTTTCTCCTTGGTTCTGGATTGCCAGACCCAATGTCTCTGATATATGAAGGGAAATTTAAAGTGTCTACTTTTTGAGCTCATTAGAGCAGCAGCGCTGTCTCTGCAGTGTCCAAAACACATATGAGATAACTTCAGGTACGGCAAATGTGGCTATCACTTCAGCTCCCTGAACAGAGACTGAAATAGAGAGACCAGGGTTGCCTGAGAAGAGGTGGAATAGAGAAGAACAAGGTATGATGTTCTGTGAGGATGAGGGAAAGCACCAAGAGGCATGTTTCCTCAGACTTATTTCACCTTAACCTCTGTATCCCACTTTTCCAAACCACTTTTACAACTGCACCCACTTTAACCAAAAAATCAGGTCAGGATTTGGTCACAGTAGGTGCTGAAAGACGCTGGCACAGAGAGGATGTGGAGAATTAGAATTGTCATATAATTCAGAAAACACTGTGATTTTTTAATTATTTATTCCATTTGAATTATTTTTATTCCTGTCAACCCTGTGCTCCTGAAGTTTTTTGTAGTAGGAAAGTATATACTTCCAACAGTATTTATTACTTATTTTTATAGAGACAAGGTCTAGCTCTGTCACCCAGGCTGCAGTGCACTGGTGCCACAATGGCTCACTACAGTCTCAACCTCATGGGCTCAAGTGATCTCATCCTCTTGCCTCTGCCTCCTGAGTAGGTGTGACTACAGATGCATGCCACCACACCTGGCTAACTTTTTAACTTTTTGTAGATGGGGTCTTGCTATTTTGCCCAGGCTGGTCTTGAACTCCTGGGCTCAAGTGATCCACCTACCTTGGCCTCCCAAAGTGCTGGGATTACAGGCATGAGCCACTGCACCTGGCTTGTCCAACAGTATTTAATTACAATAAGATGTTGTGTCTGAATTTGGCACCTTCTCACTACTGCTACCTTTTGTTGCCTTGCGAACTTTCTTCAATGGCCTTAAATAGGATACTTATTTAAGGCCATTAAATAGGATACTTATTAAATGGGTGACTTAAATGAAAGGATTCAGGAAAAAAGCAGGTAGTATAAAATCCTTCAACAATCTCTCAGTAGGCAATTCAGTTTGGCTTGACCTTAAATTTTAACAGACTTTGTGCTTTCAGTGGTTGCTCAGGAGCACTATGAAGACTCACCCTGCTTGTTTGAATTTTTACAAGGAAAGACTTCCATTCCTCCTTCAAGGAACCAAGATAAGAGACCCTGATCAATAGTGTGCTAAGCCCTGACAACCTGGGGCACAAACATACACCATAGTTAGGGCCCATTACTGTCCCTGCTTTGTCTAAAATTAGCACATGAATTTTATTCCATTATTTTAAAAAGAACTTCTCAAAAAGAATACACCAGCAGTAACTGATAAGAAATCCAAGTTTTACAAATAAAAGCAAGTCTGATGATAGCGTAACCAAGCTGTTTATATCACAGAGCTGATCCTTCTCATTAAGAAATTTGTAGATATTTTTAGATAATAATTACAGAATAAAATATGTGTGGAATCTATAATGAATCTCCGTTAAATTACAAATTTAACAATTTAAGAGCTCAGAAAAAGTCCCTAGCCAGAGAGGTCACAAAACTACATATCTTAGAAATCAAAGGAGCAGCTTCAGATATAGAAACTATCTGTAACAAACATAGGCACAGAGCTCTCACCAACAGAATACAAGGAAAGTATTTAGTATTTCCTAGTTGCTGATTGCTTAATAGGTATGTCAAAGTTAACTTGGTGTTTGAAAAACATGATGATCCTGGAAGAGGAACATCTGAATATCCATTAGGATGAATGCCAGCAACAGCCATGGTAGCTGTCCTATGGAATTGTGCATAACTTCATGATGGTGATGTGGGGATTGTTCTAGGTTGTAAACATCTGAAGCAACATAGCTCTGGATACAGGAATTTGCAACAGTATTCATTAATGTGTTTGAGTCCACAAGTAAAAATGGCTCTATACCTTCTTCCAAATGATAATAATAGTGTTCAGTTAATAGTTGCAGTATGCATCTGAAGATGCACATGGCTTCATCTCAGGAGAGCATCAGTCTGTCATAATGGGCTAGCACAAAAGCCTTTGGGGAGAAACTGGTTGTTATCACTAAATAACAGTTTTCAAGGAATTTATGCCATTCTAATTGTCCAGTTATAGAAAAATCTCCATAGACTTTGAAGGATACTTTCCAAGGAATTGGGGATGACCAATTCTCTAGAGGGGACAAATGTCAGACTTTTAAATTTACATCAAACAAGGTATCACCGAGCCAGTTACAAAATATCTAGAGGACTACAAAGGTCAAACAAGGAAGCGGACTGTGGAGACCATAAATGCACTGGGAAGAAGGGGCTTATGCCTAATTTGGTCTTACTGAGATAATCAGTGTTGTGGCCAAGTAGTGCAACTGAGATATACCCAGATAACCACATTGGAAATTTCATCTAAAATTTTTATTGTTCAAGGCTCAATATAAAATCTTGCTAAGAGCCCATGTTGGTAAGAAATTATGATTATCCTCAACTCAGAAAATAAACTGATAGAAGTTATACATAACTTGAAAACAGGATATTTGCATTTTTTAAAATGGAAATTTTCAGTTACTCTTATCATCTGAAAGCTAGGTATATCCCTTTCATTCCATGTAGAGTATATGCTATGAAGAAATCACTTCAAGTCTTACAGGTTTATTCTCCCCCAACCCCCTGACAAAGGGAAGCCATTAAGACTCTTCACCTACTATCACTTAGCGGAGAGCAGGGAAAGTCTTATGTAGACTGAGATGCCTATTTTTTCTTTCCTTTGAACTCAATGGTTTTATTCTTTTTATATTCCAGTAATGATAGAATATAGAATATCTAGTATCAATTTTTTGTACTTGTTTGCTGGCCCTTTGCTTGAACCAGCCAACTAGTTGTACAAGAGAAAGGCAGAGCAGGATTTCAGAAAACTCTCTATCCAGTCCTGGGAAACTAATTCAAAATGGACCTCCCTGACCTCTCTTTCCTTTTCTTCCCTCTCTTCTCCACCCAGCAATTTTTACTCTTAAGAAGAAAAGTAAAAGCAAGGCACTGCACCTCCTTTGCTTGGCTGTCATTTCTTGCATCATTATTACCATCTGCATTTGTTTAGTGTCCCAGAAACTACAGACGAGCTGTCTACAGGGAATCTCAAGACTCAGGTCTGCACAAAATATTGTAGTTACTGAATCACAGCAATCTCTTTATTTTAAAGCACCTTCTATGGATACTTAGTCTTTTATTTTTTATCTTTTCCAATCTATCCTTCTCATCAGTATCTTCTTTTTTCTTTTATTTTTGTTTTGATTTTCCTTTGTTCTTTATCATTCTTCCCCTTTTTCTACATTTATCTTTCCTTGCATCATTTTTCTCTCCTCTGCTTCCTCTGGCGTCTTTTTTTTTCATGTTCTATTGTTCAATGACCATGACCTTGATTTTTCCTACCCCATTTTCTTATCTCACGTTTACTGATTTCTTCTGTTTTCTTACATTTCTTTACTTACACCATCTTCCTTTAAATTTTTCTGCCTCTTCATCCATGCGGTATCTACATTCTTTATTGTAATTGAGTAAATATCGAACATTTAAAGCAGCTTTATTGAGGTAGAATTCATATATTATATAATTCCCCATTTAAAGTATAATATTCAGTGGCTTTTAGTATATCCACAGAGTTGTACATCCACCACCACAATGGACTTTATTTCTTCTTTTCTTTTTTTGAGAAAGAGTTTCACTCTTGTTGCCCAAGCTGGAGTGCAATGGTGCAATCTCAGCTCACTGAAACCTCCACCTCCCAGCTTTAAGCAATTCTCCTGCCTCTGGCTAATTTTTATATTTTTAGTAGAGAAGGGGTTTCACCATGTTGGTCAGGCTGGTCTTGAACTCCTGATGTCAGGCCATCCACCTCCTCGGTGTCCCAAAGTGTTGGGATTACAGGCAGGAGCCACTGTGCCCAGCCCACAATGAATTTTCAATCATTTTCATTGCCTCAAAAAGAAACACTGCACTCCATAGCCACCACCTCCCCTTCCCCCCTGCCCCCAGTTAACTCTCCAGCCCCAGGAAACTACTAATCTACTTTCTGTCTCTATAGGTTTGCCTATTCTGGGCATTTCATATAAATAAAATGACACATGATCCTTTGTGACTAGCTTCTTTCACTTAACAGATTTATCAATGTTATGGCATAGATCAGAACTTCATTTCTTTTTTTTTTTTTTTTATTAGAGGCAGGGTCTCACTATGTTTCCCAGGCTGGTCTCAAACTCCTGGGTTCAAGCAATCCTCCCACCTCAGCCTCCAAAAGTGCTGGGGTTACAGGTGGGAGCTACTACACTTGGATTTTTTTTTTTTTTTTTTTTTTGACAGGGTCTTGCTCTGTCACCCAAGCTGGAGTGCAGTGGTGTGATCACGGCTCACTGAAGCATCTATGTCCTGGGCTCAAGAGATCCTCCCACCTCAGACTCCTGAATAGCTGGGACTACAGTAGTGTACCACCAGGCCTGGATAATTTTTTATCTTTTCTAGAGATTTGGTATCACTATGTTTCCCAGGCTAGTCTCAAAGTGCTGGACTCAAGCTATCTGCTTACCCTGGCTTCCCAAAGTACTAGGATTATAGGCATGAGCTACCATGCCTGGCCCATTTATTTTTATTGTGGAATAATATTCTATTGTATAGATCTACCATATTTCATTTATCTATTCATCAGTTGAGGGACATTTGAGGTGTTTCTGCTTTTTTGTTATTATGACTAATGCTTCTATGAACATTTATGCACAGGTTTTTGTGTGGACATGTATTTCCCCCTCTCTTGGGTATATATCTAGGAGTGGAGCTGCTGGATCACATGTGCAGCTCTATGTTTAACCATTTGAGGAACTGCCAGATTGTTTTCCAAAGTGGCTGCACCATTGCACATTCCCATTAGTAGTGTATAAGAGTTCCAATTTCTCCACATTCTTGCAAACACTTGTTATTATCTATCTCTTTAATTACAGCTATCCTAGTAGGTATGAAGTGGTATTTCATTATGGTTTTGATTGTATTTCCTTAATGGGTACAATAAATATTCTAAAATTTCCACCACATAAGAAATCTTAAAAATGTTTTCTAGGGGCCATAGTACATCACTGAAAAATTGTAATGTTTTAGTGTCTCATATAGAAAGGTTAGGGTATAAGATGAAAGAAAGTCTTTGTATTATTGATTTCATGCTCTTAGACTTTTTTCTAAATCCCAAAGTGAGAAGCAAAGCAGACTAAGGCATGAGAATAATGTCTAAGAATAAAGAACCCTAATTCTAATTTTGTTTACTATTTCTAGATCATTCATTTCTTACCCCTCATTTCTTCTTCTGTTCTTTCTAGGCAAATAATAAATATTCATAATTTTTTTTTCTTTGAAGATTGTCTGTGGCCCCAGTATTCAACTTGAAAATAGAAAATGTTAGGAAAAAAATATATAACTGCCCTTGTTCCTTAAGAATAGCAACGTGTACTCACTCATCAAAGTTCAGTGTATTTGTCCAGTTCAGCACTTCATCCACTTCCCATTCCATCACAGAATCTATCCCACCGTCTTCAACAGTTCTAATCAGCTCTTTTGTTGTACTGTGAATTAGTCCTAGAGTTTCAAGATGTGTTGACTTAGCCTCCAGACTTCCTGAGAAGTACCTAAATAGAGGAAAGGGAAAAAGACGTAAATATTTTGAAATAAGAGATTACAAGTAGATGCAAGTGACATACATTGTTATTTACATGTTAAAACTATTTGCATATTGAATAAAGTTTTCTCCTACATAACTCAGATGCATCTAAACCAAGATCTATGTGATGAAATCATTTGGGGAAAAAGCAACTTGATCAACCACACTAACTTCAAATCACCCCTCAGTAAGTGGCATTTTTATGATACAAAGAAAGTTATTAAATTGCTGAATCATAGAATTATTGAGTGGAAATGGTCTTAGAAACCAAATAACTAACCTACTCATTTTATAGGTGAGGAAATAAATCTTTGAGGAGTTAAGTAAATTTTACAAAATCAAGAGGCTAATGGCAGATGAAGAGGGAAGGAAAGTGAAAAAAGGAAAGAGAGGAAGAGTTAAAGGGAAAACAGATACTGACATTTTCTTTGTGCCAGACACTTTTCATACATTCTTATTTCTCTTTAAAAAGACAGAGCCAAACTGGGCATGGTGGCTCACACCTGAAATTCCAGCACTTTGGGAGGCCAAGGTGGGCGGATCATGAGGTCAGGAATTTGAGACCAGCCTGGCCAACATGGTGATACCCCAACTCTACTAAAAATACAAAAATTAGCCGGGCATGGTGGTAGGTGCCTGTAAACCCAGCTACTCAGGAGGCTGAAACAGGAGAACTGCTTGAACTTGGGAGGCAGAGGTTGCAGTCCACCAAGATAGTGCCATTGCACTCCAGCGTGGGCAACAAGAACAAGATTCTGTCTGAAAAAAAAAAAGAAAAGACACAGCTATTTGTGGCAGCTATTTTTATTTCCCTTTTAGAGATAAAGAAACTGAGACTTGGAGAAGCTAAAATATTGTTCAAAGCCGGGCACAGTAGTGGCTCAAGCCTGTAATCCCAACACTTTGGGAGGCTGAGGCAGGAGGATCATTTGAGGCTAGGAGTTTGAGACCAGCCTGGGCAACAGAGAGATGCTCATCTCTATTAATAATTTTAAAAATGCTTAAAGAAATTGTTCAAGATAATGTAGTAGTAAATATATATGACAGCCAGTATTCTGACCCTTAGTTTTATGTTCAGCCTCCTTCTGCAGCACTGCCTGTCTTAATCCGAGCACTTAAAATAATATATTCACTGATAATGAGCTGAGTAACTAGAGATAAGTCAGCAGTCCTTACCAAGATCATCAAAACATTTTTTTGGTATTCATCTTAAGGTCTACATTGGTAGCCATTTTAAAGGGTCACCTGTTTTGAAGTTGTATTCATTTATTAATTTAACACCCATTGATTAGGAAACAGCATAGTGGTGATATGAAGCAAGACTCTGGTATCAAACTATCTGGATGTGAATCTTAGTTCTGTGTTATATAATCTTTGCTAAGTAACTTAGCCTTTCTGCGCCTGACTGACCTCGGCCTTAAAATGGTAATCAAGGCCAAGTGTGGAGTCTCATGCATATAATCCCAGCACCTTGGGAGGCTACAGCAGGAGGATCGCTTGAAACCAGAAGTTTAAGAATAGCCTGGACAACACAGTGAGACTCCATCTCTACAAACAATAAAAAAAATTAGCCAGGCATGGTGGCACATGCCTGTAGTACCAGCTACTGGGGAGGCTGAGATGGGATAATTGTTTGAGCCCAGAAGTTCAAGGCTGCAGTCAGCTATGATCACACTACTGGCACTCCAGCCTGGGTGACAGAGCGAGACCTTATCTCTTAAAAAAAAAAAAAGTAATCATAACACTACTTCCTCCTGGCATTCTTAAGAGATTTAGAAGTATCAATCCATGTGGCCTGGACATGATGGCTCATGTCTGTAATCCCAGCACTTTGGGAGACTGAGGCAGGAGACTCCCTTGAGCCCAGGAGTTCAAGACCAGTATGGGCAAAACAGAAACACCTTCTCTCTACAAAAATACATATGTATGTATTTTTTCCCTAACCCTAACACTATTTTTTTTTTTTTTGAGACAGAGTCTTGCTCTGTAACCCAGGCTGGCATGCAGTGGCACAATCTCAGCTCACTGCAACCTCCGCCACCCAGGTTCAAGTAGTTGTTCTGCCTCAGCCTCCCCAGTAGCTGAGACTACAGGCGCTTGCCACCACACCCGGCTAATTTTTGTATTTTTAGTGAAGACAGGGTTTGACCATATCGGCCAGGATGGTCTTGAACTCCTGACCTTGTGATCTGCTCGCCTCGGCCTCCTAAAGTGCTGGGATTACAAGTGTAAGCCTCCGTGCCCAGCCCAAAAAAATTTTAAAAATAATAAAAAAAGTGTAAATCTATGTAAAGCATTTTGAACACTGGTACATAGTAAGCATTCATAGGCTGACACTGTATTGGGTGGTAGGGCTATAAAAGTGAGAAGATACATCCTTGCCCTCATGAAATTTCGACTTCATCAGAATTTAAATGAAGAATGATCCATAAGAGCAAATGCTCTGTTGCCCAGGCTAGAGTGCAGTGGTGTGATCTCGGCTCACTGCCACCTGTGCCTCCTAGGTTCAAGCAATTCTCCTGCCTCAGCCTCCCAAGTAGCTGCGATCACATGAGGGCACCACCACGCCTGGCTAATTTTTGTATTTTTAGTAGAGATGGGGTTTCACCATGTTGGCCAGGCTGGTCTCACACTCCTGACCTCAAGTGATCCACCCACCTCAGCCTCCCAAGGTGCTGGGATTACAAGCATGAGTCACGGTGCCTGGCCTCTTTTTTTTCTTTTTTCAACAGTGAAATATAACAATTCAGATATCTTTTTTCTCTTATTAAGGAAGTATAAATGCACTTTGTTTTCAAGAAAGTCATAGTAATTGTTCAAATAATTTAATTCTCAGGTTTTGAACTCTTTTAAGAGTTACTATTATAACTAAGTAGTATAAATATTGACAAAATAACAGGTTTGCAAGTAGAAATAGTGTTTCAAATATACTGATAAGAAATAAAAGATCACTTTATAAACATATTTTATAAACAAACAAGTGATCTTTTAAAAAGACATAAAATTGGCTGGGTTGGTGGCTCATGTCTGTAATCTCAGAATTTTGAGAGGCCAACGTGGGCGGGTCAATTGAGGTCAGGAGTTGAGACTTGCTTGGCCAACATGGTGAAACCTAGGCTCTACTGAAAATACAAAAATCAGCTGGGCGTGGTGGCATGTAGCTGTAGTCCCAGCTACTGAGGAAGCTGAGGCAGGAGAATGCCTGAATCCAGAGGCGGAGGTTGCAGGAGAATGCTTGAATCCAGTGACATGCTGCCACTACACTCCAGCCTGGGCAACAAAGCAAGACTCTTTCTTTAAAAAAAAAAAAAAAAAAAAGACATAAAATGTATAGGTAATTTTGCAATATATTTTTGGTTGTATTCACTTTAACATGATCATATATTCTTTCTAAACTAAGAAATTTAAAGAGAAAGGATATTATAAGAAATGTTTGTCTGAATGTCATTAACAGAGAGAAAAGTTAAAATAACAAAGACCTACGAAGAATCAAAGCTTAAGTTGCAAAGGAGGTGGAGGAAAGCTAAGATCTATAGGACACAGGATGGAACAGGATTTAAAAACCAGAATTCTTTTAGTAAGACAGGGGTAAAAAAATCAAAATTTTGTTGATTTTGTTCATTATTGATTCTCAGCAACAGTCGGAATGAAGAGTGTTTAAAAGCCATCAATGAACATAGCATACAAAGTAAAATCTCTCATTCATTCCCTGCAACCCTATGAAAAGGAAACGTAACACCCAGTCATAAGAATTCATTCATTCATTTATTTATTCTATAAGCAACATACATTCATTAAACATGAACTATGTCTGAAATCCTGTGCTCATAAATAGAAGTCTCTGCTCTATAGGGACTCAAAGTCTAGTGGAGACGGCAGACAAATACATAGATAATTGCACAAATGTAACCACTGAATATATAAAAGATCCATGGGGCAGATCAAAAGGAAGTACCTAACTGTGTCTAGGTAGGTAAGGGAATGTTTCATAAGGAGATATTTGGGCCAAGTATCAAAAGATGAAGAAGCTATTGCCATGCAGCTGAGCACCCTAGGGAGAGGAAATATCAGAGGGGGTGTAGGTAATGGGGAGCCCTTAACATGTTTTAGGTAGAGAAATGATTTCTGTCTTAGAAACATCAGTTCAGTGTTTATACAGAGAAGATGAAGAGACTAGAGACAAGGAAATTCATTAGAAGGTAGATGAAAAATGAGATGTTACAGTGGAGAATAAAAGATCGGATTTGGGAGATACTTTGGAAGTGGAATAGGACTTGATGACAGATTACATGTAGGCACTTGTAAAAGAGTGAGAAATCTAGGATAGCCCTCTGTTTCTAACTTGGATGACTGTCTAAATGGTGGTGTCACAAGCTGAGATCAGAAGAAATCCCGAGAAGAGACAACTTTTATGATGGCGAAGGTCAGAAATTCAGTTTTAGAACTGTTGAGTTTGATATAGAAATACCCATATAATTAAAAATACAGAACATGGTTACAGATGAGGATTGTGCTGAGGGTAAACGAGCACAGAAAGAAATAAAATAGCATGTTATTCTTCATGTACATTGGCTTATCATCAGGTGCTGTCTCCCAGCTGGTACTGTGATGGTACTTCAGCAAGTCATGCCACATTCTGTCAAAGCCAGCTGTTTCTAGGTGATGGCACATATGGTAGGTGAATTTTGTTGTTCTGAGCCCATAACCACACTTCCTTTACTGTTAATGAGTTCCCTACATAGACGCACTGTTGTATGCAATAAAATTATGATGGATAATGCATTCTGTTATGAGAGGTGTTGTTGCCAGAAGTAATGCAGGCAGAGAAATAAAATTAATATCCAGAATACTTGCCTATCACTGTAAGGACAAATGGATGCCTCCTTTATTATGGGAATGGTCTGATATAATCAGCCTGTCACCAACTAGCCAGCATATCTCATTACTAGGGGCAAAGCAATGGCCTTTGCTATATAGTCAGCTGTGACTACAGCCAGAACAACTTTGGTGAGGGGAAGACCATGTTGTCGAGTCTATATAAAGCCTCCATCCCTGTAATCCTGGCCACTCTGGACAAGACTCCATGATGAAACCACTGAGGTGCCATGGGAAAAAGCTGACATTCGCAAGATGGATCATCTTGTCCATCTGATTACTGAGAGCTGTCTGCCTCATATATGCCCTTTGGAGGGCATTCACGTGGGACAGAAATATACTTTGTATCCATTCTGAGTATACCTCTACCCTGACCTACTCACCAATTTTCCAATTTTATTCTTTGCGAATGTTGATCAGCTGGGAAACTATAAATGTCAGTCAGCACATCAGCACAGTCAGTGAAATCCCTACCACAGGCTGTTACCCCTTCAAATGAAATGGAAAACTAAATGTACCACCTGAAGTTATGCTCACTGGAAGAATATCCTTTGATCATTTACTGGGCTAACAGGGGAATTAAAATGAGTAACCGTCCATTTTTAGATGGTGCAACAATATTCTACAGATAAACTTATTTCTCCAACATATTCCTCCCTGTCAACTTGTCATAGGGACTCTCTATGAAGCCAAAGGTATGGAGATGATATAAAAGGCAATGCAGTATAAGTAGTGGTTGCAGGAGTCTGAGCCACCTGCTCATGCAGCTAGAACCATTCCCATATAGACCACATTTATTTTATACTGAAACAGTTTTACATACTCTAAATTTTATGGTTTAACTGATTAGATGAAACCTAAGTCAGTTCATGATCACAGCACTTGGTATCCTATTGCCAAGCATCCAGTCTTTACCAGGACCCAGTTGCAAATCTGGAACAGATTTTCAAATGGACAATAGCTTCTGTCAGAAGAGGAAATTCATTACCTTCTTCCTAAACCCTAGAGGTCTGTGCTGTAATTCCCCCATTTGGACTCTTTAGGGGCTCTACACAGTTTTTCACTACCATGAACATTTCTAATGCTGTTGTGACTGCTGGGCCATAAGCCCCAAGTTGCAGGGCAGCTTGACTACATTGTCTTTCTTGCTCCATGTCCCACTGGAGCCAGCTGACTTTATTAGCTCACCTAGTAAAGGGGAGCAGCATGCCCAAAATGTGTCACACATTAGCTCTCAAATTGAGAGAAGGTCTCTAAGTATTGTGCTTCTTCAAGGTGAATGGTACAAGGTACAGTAACTTGTATCTCACTTTCCAAAGGATATCTCAAATGTCTTTAAGCTTCAGTTATATGCCAGAACCTTAACTTTTTCAAAGTTTATCTGCTTCCTTGTAGTGTGCCTTTGTCCTACTAAGCCACCAAGGGAGTTGTTATTTTCCGCTCACCACACTCAATCAAGGTAAGAACATAAATATAATGAACAGGCATAATGTTCTGTGGAAACAGATGTACAAACCCCTGGGGACGAGAGCAGGAAAGCTGATATATTTCCAAGAGCAAGACGTAAAAACACACTTTGTTCTTTCTGTGAAAATGCAGACTGCTTTTCCTATTGCTTAGTGATTGGGATGGGATGGGAAATAACACATTTGCCAGGTCACTTGCAGCATACCAGGTGCCAGGGGCTGTGTTGATTTCCTCTATTGAAGAAGCCACAACTGGAAGCCTCGCTGTAATTGTGTCATCACCTGACCTCTACCACTTCAAAGTTCCATTCATCCCAGTGACCTGAACGAATCAATTCCATCACAGCTTCCCCTACCATAATCTCCATCCTTGTAAAGAACAGCCACCACAGAGTTCATCAAGCAGTATGCTACTCCTGGGCCTTTCATGGTAGCTCACGCCTGTAATCTCAGCACTTTCAGAGGCCGAGGCTGGCGGATCATGCTGTCAGGAGTTCGAGAGAAACCTGGCCAACATGGTGGAATCCCATCTCTACTAAAAATACAAAAAAATTAGCCAGGCCTGGTGGTGCATGCCTGTAATCCCAGCTAGTCGGGAGGCTGAGGCAGGAGAATTGCTTGAACCCAGGAGGCGGAGGTTACAGTGAGCCAAGACTGAGCCACTGCACTCCAGCCTGGGTGACAGAGTAAGACTCCGGCAACCAGCACACACACAAAAAAAAAAAAAAGAAAGAAAAAGAAATATGTTGCTCCTCTCACCAAGCTATTACTACATAGCTTGATTGAAAAAAAAAAAAGCTATCTCTTGGGACTTCCTGGGGTAATGGCGAGATGGTGGTTTAGTAGACTGCACATACACACATACACACACACACAATTCTCTGAACTTTTAGAAATCCTTTTTCTACAGTATGCCAGAGAAGTTCCGGCATTTTGCAAAGGTAGAGCTTTCATTGGTTCTACCTAAATCGGCTTTGATTGGCTAATCTAACAGACCATTAACATAATTTCTGCGAACTCAAGCCAAAACATTAAATCCACAATTCCAGGTAAGTATGGTCAAATCAGTAAGTTCAGCCTAACCAACTGGCTCTAACAATCTTAGGATCCACCCTCACACAATGCTTCTGAGACTGCTGGCAATACAGTTTAGTAAATTCTTGTAACTCTTCTGGTTTTCTAAACTATCTCCTCTTGGAGTGGACCTTCTACTGCTGTCTGGGCTATCCTGAGATACAAATCTCATTGTGAGCTGAAGACAATGAGAAATAGTGGAGGGGGAATCCTGAGGACAATCAGCACAAATGTGTGTGGCAACTGTGCCAGTGCGGTCACTGAAAGGCCTTTATGCAGAGAAGAGTTGCTTCCCTCAAAAGGGAGAGCTAGGGTTCCCTATACCAACAAGGCACTTTGGAAGCTCAAAGTTCTTGGCTTTGTGTATGTTTGCCCAAATGTCCTAATCCCAGGTCTCAGGATTCTACTTCTTCACCACTAGTGCCCTTATCTTAGTGCAAAAGACCTGGCAGGGTTAAGCATTTGGTAGTGCTGTAGGCACTGTAACCCTGTGACCATTGCAATAGAAAACGCGGTTGCCCTCAACCCATGCTGTGATTACAAGAGATGAAGGGCCGCTTCAGAGCTGCCGGGGAGGTCTTCTGATTGTCTGTACATGTTCTTTATTTTTTAAACTATTTTACTGAGGTATGGTTGATGTACAATAAACTACACATATTTAAATTGTACAATGTACAGTTTTGACATGTTTATATACCTGTAAATCCATCACTACAATAAAAAATGAAACTATCCATCACCCTCCAAAGTTTCCTTGCTTTCCTTTGGAATCCCTCTCTCTTTACTCTTTTCCATCTCCAGATAACTGCTGATCTTCTCTGTGCACTGCAGATTTGTGTCTTCTAGAACTGTATGTAAATGGAATCATAGAGTATGTACTATTTTTTGACAGATTTCTTTCATTCAGCATTATTTTGAGGTTGGTCCATGTCGTTCTGTGTATCAGCAGTTCATTCCGTGGTACTGCTGAGTGGTATTCCTTTGTGTAGACATCCTATCACCTGCTTACCCATTCACCTGCTGATGCACATTTGTGCTGTTTCTGGTTTTTCACTATTATAATGAGAAATAAACCAGCTATTAACATTCACAAAGAATCTTTCTGTGGACATGTTTTTATTTCTCTTGGGTAAATTATGTAGGGGTAGAATGACTAGTTTAATAGTTTACTTGTTTAAAAAAACCTGTCAAACTGTTTTCCAAAGTGCACACACTAATTTGCATTTGCTCCATATCCTTGCCACCAATTGGTATGACAGACTATTTCAGTCATTCTAGTGGGTATGTAGTGGTATCTCATTATTGTTTTAGTACGCATTTCTCTAATGATTAATGATGTTAGTCACTGGCTGAGTTGTGCTAATCTGCTATCTATATAACTTCACTGGAGTGTTTATTCAAATTTTTTGCCCACTTTAAAATTTATTGTTTAGAGTTTTTTTTTTTTTAACATATTCTTGATACAAAACCTTTGTCAGACACATACTTTGCAAACATCTTATCCCTGTCTATGGCTTGTATTTTTATTTTTGAAACATGTCAATCAAAGAACAAAAGCTTTTAATTTTGATGAAGTGAAATTAAAATTGTTTCTTTTATAGTTCTTGGCTTCTGTGTCCTCTTTAAAAAATCTTGGCCAGGACAAAAGGCACTAGGATTTTCTCCTTCAATTAGTTTTGTAGATGCTTTATGGTTTTTGCTCTTATACTTAATGATCTCTTTTCAGTTAATTTTACATATGTTGTAAGATAAGACTCAAGTTTCATTTTTATGCATTTGATATCCAATTTGTTGAAAAGACTACTTTTTTCCCAATTTAGTTCCCTTGGCACCTCTATTGAAAATTAATTAACAATATATATGGGGGTTTCACAATTCCATATTCAGTCCCATGATCTGTATGTCTATATGCCAATACCACAATGTCATGATTATAGTAGCTTTACAAGTCTTAAAATCAGGCAGTAAGTATAGTTCTCCAAATGTGTTTTTTTCCCCAAATACTATATTCTTCCTTCGTGTTTCATCAACTTACATTTGCCTCATCCACTCTATTTTTGTAAGTTTTCTTTTCTTTTCCAAGTCTTGCCTTTTCTTTAGTTTAGAGAAATGGAATTCACTTTCCTTTTTGTCTTCCACCACTACACTGTCAGTAGATAGCCAAAACTATTGAGAAGCAAAAATAAATATAGAAAATGTTGAAATACGATTGTCAGGTTATCTGCCAATAGACAAGAACTTCTATGTGCTCAGTAGGAACATGCCAAGATAGAAACAGAGGAGAGGATAGATCTTTTCAAGGTATTTCTAATTAACTGATGGGCAAGTAGTACACTCAGCCTTCAGAAGCACATGCTACAGATAGATCAACAAAGTATCAGTATACTGAGGTACTTAATAAGTATTTGTTGAATGGATAAAAAGATATATCCTAACAGTGTCTCATCTTATCACATGATGACTAAGCTACTCTTAGTGCTGATAGCTTTCAATTACTCTAATCCTCAAGGAGTACAGCCACCTTTCAGGAATGCAGAAGTCCGTGTATCATGTCCTAAGACTTTGTGGTTTCTCCTTTATGACACTTTCTCCTACATGGTTGTCTATTTTCCCTCTTCCGACTCATTCCCCCTGCTCTATCACACAAACCCTAGATAATAAGGAGAGTTTGTTAATCCTTCCAAACACTATATATTTACCCTTCTTAAACCACTTAACATGTTTACTACATTCTACTGAAATCTCCTGTTTGCTTGACTGTCTCCCTAATTGAAAGGCAAGCTACTTAAGTCTATCCCCAGCATCTAGAACAATGTCTGGCATATGGTTGATATGCAATAGTTTATTAAACGAATTCATACCTTGATCATTTTTACACTTAGTATATTCTTTTGTTTTGTTTAGTTTTTGTTGTTTGTTTGCTTTTTGAGACAGAGTCTCACCTGTCACCCAGGCTGGAGTGCAGTAGCACCATCTCAGCTCCAAGTGCTGGGATTACAGGCATGAACCACAGCATCTGGCAATACTTAGTGTTAATATAGTCAACATATCACATTCTACAGTCTGTATACTGAGTATACAATCTGCTGAGTACCACAGAGTATCTAAAGATGGCCTATTCAAAGCTGATAATTAAAAGAAGAAATAAATGTAATAAGAAAAAAAATTGCTGTCCCTTGAAGTATTATTAGCAACCCCAGAGTAGCTAATGTATGCAAAATTTATCAATTAAACTAACAGAATTTATTATTTATAAAAAATTTTTAAATTAAGTTTCAAAAAAATGGATTTCTAAATACATAAGCTTAAAAATTATTAACATTTCTCTTTTCTTACTCTATCAGAAACTGGCCTCCAGCCATTGTTTTCTATACGATGATACCAGCCACTATAATCCTCTTCCTGAAGATGATCATCTTTACTATGAGATGTATGCTTTGCTGGAAGTTTTGCATAATTTCTAGGGCTGTTAGCACACAGATCTTCAATATGTCTGTGAGTAAAAATTTTATAGTATATATCAGGTGGAAACTTAACCTGTAGATGGAAAAGTTCAAAGAACCATTGTAATATAACTATAAAAATGTTTTACATTTTAAAAACTTACATTGTTTCCATTTCATAAAAATGTGCTTTAACAATGAGATGCCATCTCACACCAGTTACAATGCGATCATTAAAATGTCAAGAGACAACAGATGCTGGAGAGGATGTGAAGAAATAGGAATGCTTTTACATTGTTGGTGAAAGTGTAAATTAGTTCAGCCATTGTGGAAGACAGTGTGGCAATACCTCAAGGATCTAGAACTAGAAATACCGTTTGATCCAGCAAGCCCATTACTGGGCATATACCCAAAGGATTATAGATCATTCTATTATAAAGACCCATGCACACGTATGTTTCTTGCAGCACTATTCACAATAGCAAAGACTTGGAACCAACCCAAATGCCCATGAATGACAGACTGGATAAAGAAAATCTGGCACATATACACCATGGAATACTATGCAGCCATACAACAGGATGAGTTCATGTCCTTTGCAGGGACATGGATGAAGCTGGAAACATCATTTTCAGCAAATTAACATAAGAACAGAAAACTAAACACTGCCTGTTCTCACTCATAAGTGGGAGTTGAACAGCGAGAACACATGGACACAGGGAGGGGAATATTACACACCAGGGCCTGTCAGGAGGTGGGGGTTAGGGGAAGGAGAGCATTAGGAGAGATTTCTAATGTAGATGATGGGGTGACAGAAGGAGCAAACCACCATGGCACATGTGTAACTATGTAACAAGCCTGCACGTTCTGCACATGTATCCCAGAACTTAAAGTATAATAATAATGAATACATTATATCTATTCTTTAAAAGTTCTATTAAAAATGTGCATTAAAACTACTAAATAAACATTCATCCATACTTACTCCACCTAATCTGAATCGCACATGAATGCCAGCAGCAGCGTCTAGAAGCTCTGCCTATAAAAAAATATATTACTCTTCAGGATTCTGTATGTATCAATTCACTACTTGTCACTCTCTTATCTTAAACAGTTGCTGAATACTGAGTAGGAAAGAGGTCAGGTACCCAACCTATGATAATTAATTTTAAATTAGAAAAATTGGTTCTTTTTTCTTTTGAGGCGGAGTTTCGCTCTTGTTGCTCAGGATGGACTGCAATGGCACATCTCAGCTCACCGCAACCTCCACCTCCCAAATTCTCCTGCTTCAGCCTCCCGAGTAGCTGGGATTACAGGCATGTGCTACCATGACCGGCTAATTTTGTATTTTTAGTAAAGACGGGGTTTCTCCATGCTGGTCAGGCTGGTCTCGAACTCTCGACCTCAGGTGATCCGCCCGCCTCAGCCTTCCAAAGTGCTGGAATTACGGGCATGAGCCACTGTGCCCAGCTGAAAAATTGTTTAAAATTTTTTTTTGAGACAGGATTTCGCTGTATTGCCCAGGCTGGAGTACAAAGGAACGATCTCGGTTCACTGAAGCCTTAACCTCTTTGGCTCAAGCGATGCTCCCACCTCAGCCTTCCAAATAGCTGAGACTACAGGTGTGTACCACCATGTCTGGCTAATTTTTGTGTTTTGTAGAGACGGAGTCTTCCTATGTTACCAGGCTGGTCTTAAATTCCTGGCCTCAAGTGATATTCCTTCCTTAGCCTCCCAAAGTGCTAGGATTATAGCCATGAGCCACTATCCCCAGCCATTAAAAATTTTCTTTTGTAATGAATTATCAAATATTTTATGAACCAGGGACTTAATTTCTTGTGGACATCAATAATCAACAGATCTATGGTAAACGAAAAAATGATACTGAACTGTTTCCTCTTTATGCAATATATAAACATAAAAGCCAAGTGATTTTTTTATTCATAAAACTTTTAAGTAAGTCCTCAAAGTATGATTTACATATAAAATATTATCTTACAGGTAAATTTAAAGAAAAAATTATGACTGATCAACCTAAATTCAACAGCAGATGATCTTTCCTAGTTAGCTATTGTTAAATTTTAAAAACCATGTTTAAAATTCTGGGCCGGAAATGGTAGCTCACGCCTATAATCCCAACACTTTGGGAGGCTGAGGAAGTTAGATTGCTTGAGGTCAGGAGTTCTGAGGCCAGCCTGGTCAACATGGCGAAACCCCATTTTTACTAAAAATACACAAATTAACTGGGCATGGTTTTGGGTGCCTGAAATTCCAGCTACTGTGGAGGCTGAGGCAGAAGAATTGCTTGAACCAGGGAGGTGAAGGCTGCAGTGAGCAGAGAGGTTGCACCACTGCACTCCAGCCTAGGTGACAGAGACTTCGTCTCAATAAATAAACAAATAAATACATAAACAAATTAATTAAATTTTGTAAGAATTGTATTTACTAGGCTTTCTGAATTTTAGTTTGATACACTGCACCAAATGGAAGCAGAGAAAAAAATTCTTGGTTCTTTATCAGAAGGCAGTTCAATCTTGTCTCCTCATATTAGGTTAGATCAGAAAAAAGATGTTATTGAACATATAGAGTCTGAAACACAACATTAATTTTGCAGAATAATGTTTTCTCGACTAAAAACTTTATGAATTCAAATATGAAGCGTGACAGCCTGTTATGGAACATATTTTCTATATTTGAACCATGATAATATACATATAAACATTTTTCTCACGAAGGTGGACAAATCTTAAGTGTATAGTTCCATGAATTTTTACATATGTACTGTACTCTCGTGCTTGGCTTCTTTTGCTCAGCATGAATCTGTGATAAATCTCTAAGATTCATGTACGTAGTTGTAGATAGCAGCAGTTAGTTCTTTTTCACCACTGTCTACCATTCCATCATAGAATATACCACAATTTATATTATTGTTGGACATTTGATATGTCTTTAGTTTTGGGTTAAAATGAATAAAACTGCTGTGAACACTCATTTTCATGTTTTCTGTGGGTTACAGCAATCATCTCTCTTTGTTACATACCCAGAAATGCAATACGAGAGGTCATGAGGTATATGTGGTACATATATGTACACAGATGGCCCCGACTTACAGTGGTTCAACTTACAGTTTTGACTACAATGGTGTGAAAGTGATATGCATTCAGTAGAAATTATACTTTAAATTTTGAATTTTGATCTTTTCCCAGGCTAGCAATATGTGCTATGATGCTCTTGTTGTGATGCTGGGCAGTGGCAGCAAGCCACAGCTTTCAGTCAGCCACAGGATCATGAGGATAAACAACTGATACTCTACAGCAGTCCATGGCCTGTTACGACTGGGCTGCACAGCAGGAGGTGAGTGGTAGAAGCATTACTACCTGAGCTCGCCATCCTGTTAGATCAGCAGCAGCATTAGAGTCTCATAGGCATACAAACCCTACTGTGAACTGCACACATGCACAGGATCTTGGTTACATGCACCTTATGAGAATCTAATGCCTAATGATTTACTGTGGAACAGTTTTATCCTGAAACCACCCTTCACATCCCAAGTCTGTGGTAAAATTATCTTCCACTAAACTGGTCCCTGGTGTCAAAAAGCTCAAGGACTGCTGCTCTACACTACAGGCTAAGTCGGTAAGTTATAATGTTTGCCAGGTTAGGTGTATTAAATGCAGTTTTTACTTACAATATTTTCACCTTGTGATGAGTTTACCTTAACATACACTGCCATAAGCCGAGGTGCATCTTTAATTTGCTGTACTAGTGACTACCACAGAGTTTTCCAAATTTTTGTAACAATTCCCCCACCAGTAATATATGAGAGTTCTGGTTGCTCCATATCCTCATCAACATTTGGTATTGTCAATCCTTCTAATTTTAGCCATTCTGGTGGGGTTTTAATGGTAGCTCACTGTAGTTTTAATTTGTATTTTCTTATGCCTAACGATGCTGAGCATGTTGCATGTTGCATATGCTTATTGGCCATATGGATCTATCAGTCACGCTAGTGATTTATCAATTCTATTAACCTAATCAGAAAACCAACTGGCTATTACTTGCACAGTGACACCATCATGGTACAGTGCAGCCTCAACCTCCCCAGCTCAATTGATCCTTCTGCCTAACTATACCAGGTAGCTGGGAATATAGGCACGCACCACCATGACAGGCTAATTTTTGTATTTTTTGTAGGCAAGGGGTTTCTCCATGCTGCCCAGGCTGGTCTTGAACTCCTGGGCTCAAGCAATCTTTGCACCTAGGCTTCCCAAAGTGCTAGGATTACAGCACTCTCCCAACTCACTCACTTACTCCACTCTCTAAGTTCATGGGTATACATTTTTAGTACCCACTTATATGTGAGAAGATTCGATATTTGAATTTCTGTGCCTGACTAGTTTCACTTAAGATAATGACCTCCAGTTTCATCCACGTTGTTGCAAAAGACATTTCATTCTTTTTTTAATGGCTGAGTTGTATTTCAATGTATGTATCCATACCACATTTTCTTTATCCAATCATCCAATGATGGACACTTAGGTTGATTCCATATCTTTGCTATTGTCAATTGTGCTTCAGTAAACAAAGAAGTGCAGGTATCTTTTTGGTATATTTATTTCTTTTCCTTTGGGTAGACACCCAGTAGTGAGATTGTTCAATTGAATGGTAGTTGCATTTTAGTTCACTGAGAAACCTCCATACTGTTTTCCACAGGAGCTGAACTGATTTACATTCACAGTAACAGTGTATGAGTTCCCTTTTATCTGCATCCTCACCAAAATCTGTAATTGTTTTTTACCTTTATATTTTATTTTTATAAAAGTTTATTCTTTTTTTTATGTTTTGAATAGATTTTTTAGTTTTATTGAAATCTTACATGAACAAGAAATTGGAAATACAATCACATCAAAGAACAAATTGTCATGGCTTTTGATGTTTAAGCCAAACAAATTTTGTAGGGCAGATTTCAAAATGTGTGAAGTTATAACAATTTAAAAACACAGTTAACCTACTTCTAGGAACGCAAAACATACAATTATAGGTTATTTTCAATACAAGAAAACTTAAATTTGTTTGCTTTAATTTCTTAAAACTATTAAGACAAGGCACTAGCTTGTATTTTTATTTACAGCATACTCCATACTCCTATGTAATCTATTCCAAATCCAAAAAAATGAAACTGTCCAAAACCAAAGGTTCTGCAAAATCATGATTTAACAGTGTGCCCAGCTTGTTTTGAAGCTAAAATGAAGCCTGAAATGATAAAAGCATTGTAATCCCCAGAATAAGGGAACTCTGCAAGCCCAATAATGTCCAAGAGCATTTAAAAGTTTATTCTTAAATGTACAATAGGCTTCATGACTATACAATCATTCTAGCTATAGATGGCAAAAGGTGTTATGAAAAAGAATATAGATGCTTACAGGAATGGAATCAAAAGTCACCATTACCTCAGGCACAAGGAACAGCTAACTTTTTGCCAGATTTCTTAATTTCACCTGTGGCCCGGGGTTCCTTGCCTGTGGCCTTTGTTTTTAGCTCATCAAGTTTCTTCTGTTCCTCTTTGTGTTTCTGTTTGAAAGCCTTCTTGGCTGGGCTCAGTGGCTCACGACTGTAATCCCGGCACTTTGGGAGGCCAAGGCAGGTGGATCACCAGAGGTCAGGAGTTCAAGACCAGCCTGGTGAACATAGTGAAACCCCATCTCTACTAAAAATATAAAAATTAGCCGGGCATCGTGGTACGTGCTTGTAGTCCCAGCTACTTGGGAGGCTGAGACAGGACAATTGCTTGAACCCAGGAGGCAGAGGTTGCAGTGAGCTGAGATCACGCCACTGCACTCCAGCTTGGGTGACAGAGTGAGACTTGTCTCAAAAAAAAAAGAAAGAAAAAGAAAAGAAAAGAAAGACTTTTCTTCCTCATCTATCTCCTTGGCCTGCTTCGGGGCTTCTTCTTTCCACCTTTAGAGCTAGGCATGGTGCCTGCTGCCCATTTCCCCAAACTCTGCCAAGAGAAACTTTTAAGTCTTTTTAATAATAATC